AACAATAACTAAAGAGGTCAATGAACTATCACTTCAATCCAAATTCATTCATCCAAATGAGAACCTTAAAAGTAAAACCGATATAGGTATGTATATTATTTTGATTGTGCATCATGGGTATTGTTTTGATTGTTCAGGCATTACAGAATTCATTATGGTCATATTCATAATCAAAACAATGTGATTACTAATCAATTTATTTATTTAATTTACATATTGGATCCTACTTAATTTTTTTAAAATGTGAAAATCCAATAATTTTATAAAAAAGAGTTATTTCATTTGGAATGATTTTCAAGCAAATTCATGAAACTAGGGTATTGGGTTTTTGAGTGGATGTAAAATCCATGAACTAGGGCTAATTGGACAGGCCCAAAAGTTGCACAAGACCATTCATTACAAAAATCACCCACATGCCCATGAAGAACCAATTTTTAATTTTTAAAATTTGTTTCAATAATTTTTCTTTAAAGAAAAATTGAATACAACTTTATATATATATATAGATATATATATATATTCACTAAAGAGGAGCCAAAACTAAGGTTTATAATTTGGACTGAATTTTGAAAAATTGTTGGACCAAAATTATTGATTAAAAAAAATTACTTGAAGAAGAAAATAGTCTAAAAAAATCCTTTTTATTATTTTTCAAAATTGGACTGATAACTTTAATTTTCTTTCCAAACAAGCACAGATTTTTCTTCTTTCCAAAAATTGAAATGCTCTCTTGACCTTCATTTCCCTTCCAAAAGAATAGATTTTTGCTTCCAAATTACAAAATAATAATGTAGGCTGGTAATTTTCATTTTCTTTCCAAAAAACAGAGATTTTGCCTCCAAATGGGATATATTTTCCTTCTGAATCCAGGATTTCTCCAATAAATGCAGATTTTTTTTAATAAAAATCCAATAAATGCAGATTTTTTCTCTTTTAATCTTGTTCATCCTGAGAAAGCAATAAAGGGTCAAAAAGAAAAGGAAGAAAACAATTATTTTTAACCTGTCTGCAAATGTCTCACTTATTGTTGTCATTTAGCTGCATACCAAACAAGACCTTACATGCTCAAATTGCCAATGTACAACCCACTTTGCAGAGTAAATTCATAACATAAATCAGCTCAAAAGGTATAAAATCGTAAAAATTTAATGTCTTTTACTAAACCCAGAAAGCTATCAATGCCAATTTGGAAGATAATCCCAAAAATTTAAGGGTCAGCTCCTTGAATATCTTGAATCATGTTTTGGCTCTATAAATACCATAGAACTAGTGTTGAACAATCACAACAAACAGCAAAAAACCTTATAGTGTGAGAGTACAGGCGTTGACAAGAAACTTGAGCTTGAAGACGAAATGGGTCGTTCTCGAGGGAATTTCCACTCCGACGAGGACCCAACGCAAAGGTATGTTTTCTTTGATGAGTTCTTCCGTCATTGCAGTTCATTTTTCTATTTTAACCTTTGAATTTGAGCCTCCTTTTGCCGATGATTCTGGTTTGCTGGGGTGAGTTTTGACTGTTTCATCTTTGAATAGTTTGTATTTGTGGATTGTTGAGCAGGAGCAGAAATGTGGCTTACTGCATGTCCGTTAATGAAATATCTGGGGCATTTTGAAATGGATTTATGGGTAATTAGGCGTAATGGGGATTAGATTCTTAAATAAAAGTTCTTTGCTTGGGCATTCTGAAATGGGTTTTCAGCTTGGGTTCATTTGAATGTTCCATATTGTTGATTGAGTTGCTTGACTTCTAGATTAGGTATTTTACCATTGGGGTTATCTGTGAATCTGTTTTGCTACAGTGAGCATGGAGATTTTGCTGAGTACTTTCTGTTCATTTCAAACTAATTTTATTTGTCAGATTGTTATTCAAAGAAGAAAAAATTCTTTATTTGTCAATATTCCGGTCTCTATGTCCCTTCCAGTCATTGAGCTCAATTTATCGCCTATTCTGTGATGATATAGTGTTTTTCTCCAACTACATAGATTTGATGTTTTTCTTGTTTTTCTGTGGAAAGACACTCTGTTTTGTTTCCTTTACTCATCAATTTAGCTTCACCTGAATGCATGTTTTAATTGATGCAGATCAAGGAGAAAGAAGAATGCACCCAGTGGAGAAAATTCGGACTCTGCATTTGCAGGTACAAAGTTGTTTGAGAGGCTAATAATTCTATAATGAATTTGCTATACCAGTACTGTCAACTATTAGTATGCAATCTCTTTTAGAATATATAACATTGATTTTCTGCTCTCTTGCTTTTGTTCCACATTGTTACGAAAATTTATGGCGGATAATTTTAATTGCTGTTCTCTATGGAAAAATCCTTTCTCCTATGTCTTGCTATGGTTATTTATCGGAGACATGTATGTTCCCTTTGGTTTACTTGTGGAGATACGTATTCTGTTTATTTACTTACAACTTTTATTTATGATTCTTTTCTTAACATTTTTATTTTTTAATCTCCTGGACAAGGTCAAGGATCAAGTGAAGGGAAAAGGGCTTTATACCACTGCAACTATTGCAACAAGGATATTACAGGGAAGATCCGCGTCAAGTGTGCTGTCTGCCCTGATTTTGATCTCTGTGTAGAGTGCTTTTCCGTTGGGGCTGAAGTGACACCTCATAAATGCAATCATCCTTACAAAGTTATGGTTAGTATCCTGTGAATTAAACTTATTTTATGTGCTGATACTGCTATGGTATCTGTGGTCTGCTTTGTCAATACATATTACTTCTTAGATTCACATAAAAGGGAGTTGAAATGAAAACTTGAAACCAACTTTCTTTTCTGGATCATTTTCTTTAAATGTTCTATTACTGCAATAATGTTTGAACTTTATCTTCGATGAGGAAAACAAAATTTAGGATATTATATTCTTTCTTCTGTTTATATATTTGTATGATGTCAAAATAACTCTAGGTATCGTCTGATTCTGCGACGCTGCAATGCTGACTTGTAGAAGGCAAACTGTAGCCATATGATTTGCTAATTCGTTTATATATTTCATTAGAACAGGACAATTTATCTTTCCCCCTTATATGCCCAGATTGGAATGCAGATGAGGAAATGCTGCTCCTAGAGGTGTTTCAATTTTCTTTTCTTCTCATAATCTCTTAAATAAAGTCTTAATAGTCTGTGATTTCCTCAACCTAGTATTTCATGTCTGGATTAATTTTTAACCTGTTTTTTTATATCAAATAATTTCTAATTTCAGGGAATCGAAATGTATGGCTTGGGAAATTGGGCAGAGGTTGCTGAGCATGTAGGAACAAAGAATAAAGAAAGTTGTATTGAACACTACACAAGTGTTTATTTGAACTCACCATACTTTCCTCTTCCAGTATGGCATTTCCAATAAAATCCGACTTTCTTTTTGGTAGTGATCTTCATAAAATAACTAGGTGTGGAACATTTTTCTTCTCTAGGACATGTCACATGTTGTTGGAAAAAATAGAAAGGAGCTTCTAGCCATGGCCAAAGGACATAGTGAGGATAAGAAAGGTTTGTAATTATGATATACTCTTCTCCTTCTACTTATATTTATATTCTTTTGCTTAATTGCAGTTTTCAGGCTACTTTTCTTACAGCCATATGCTTTTGTTCTGTTAATTTTCTGATTGCCATATTGCAGGTGCTTTGATGCTTGGGGAGCTTAACATTAAGGAAGAACGCTCCTTTTCGCCTTCAACAGTGAAGTAGGATTGCTGTTATTCTCTATATATGTAATTATTTGTTACTTTGTTCATACAACTTGTTATCCAAATATTTCAATCCATGCAGGGTTGAAGAAATGCACAGGACGGGCCCATCAAACCGTTTACTCTCTGGCGGGAAAGCAGGTGAGCTTCTACGTGCTTTTTGCAGTGTCTCTGATTTATTTCACCATATAATCCTATTTTTATGAAACTTAGATTTTCTGTTTGGTTTGTTGACCTTAGAGTTAGATTCTGGGACTCATTCTGGCAGCAAAAGCATGGAAGCAGCTGCTGACATGGCCCAGGTTAAAGATGACTCCAGCATCATCAAGATGGAAGGTCTGTTTGCTTTTTTTTTTCTTTTTGGTTTCTTCTTCTTCCATTCATCATTTTCACTAATATCTGTTAACTATAGAATACAATCTTTAACAAATTCGTGCAATGTCCACAAGCTCTATTCTGCAGAAACACCATTAGTTAATGTACCCCCCACCATTTTTAATCTATGTCTTGACTTTTTAAGAAATTATATAAGATCTTGTAGACATTTTTCAGTTTATATTCCTGGCTCATGAATTTATTATGATAAAAATGTGGTTTGTATTTAAAATAAGCTAAAACTACCAAGACTGGGTAAAACCAGAATGTTCCTTAAAAATTCTGTTTTATTTCAATAACTCCTGGTCCCATTTGCTGAAATATATATAAGCTATCAGCATTGCGTTATATCTGTCATGCTTTCTGGACTAACCATCATAATGAAGTCATAGGATCGTGTAATATATTGGTTCTGCAATATTAGGTGGGAAAATCAGAAATTGAGTGCCCCTGGAATGAGTTATATCATTGCACATCTAGACTATTTACCTTGAAAAGACTTGAACTGTTAAACTTATATATACTGTTTGCTTATCCAGACTGTGCACTATTATGTTTCTTGTTTCTGAGTTATTACAAAAGGTCTTGCCTGCATTAGATGATATGGCAATAACTGATTGAGTAGCTAACTAGCTATAACCCAATATGCTGACAATAAAATACTAGGTTTACTTTGTTCTTTGTATTTTATCGGCAGATCCTCAAACAGACAGAAATTTTGGGGGAAAGAAACCAAACTCTCTGGGGAATGATAATCTACTAGAGTTGAGTGGTTATAACCCCAAAAGACAAGAGTTTGATCCTGAATATGACAATGATGCTGAGCAGTTGCTGGCTGAGATGGAATTCAAGGATACAGACACGAACGAAGAACGTGAGCTGAAGTTACGTGTGCTGCATATTTATTCAAGAAGGTAAGCAATCAATAATTTTTTGTTTTGACAAAATATATGGTCTGTAATGAGTTTGATGCGTGCCTTTAAGTTGTGATTGGATCGATTTATAAACGAAAGTGTCTTCCAAAAATAGTCCTCTTTTACTTGGCACCTTAATTGAAATAAGCTTATTGCAGACTTGATGAGCGGAAACGTAGAAAGGATTTCATATTGGAAAGAAATTTGCTGTATACAAATCCTTTTGAGAAGGACTTGTCTCCTGAAGAGAGAGCAATATGCCGGAGCTATGATGCTTTCATGCGTTTCCATTCAAAGGAAGAGCATGAGGAACTACTTAGGACTGCTATTCAAGAGCATCGGACTTTGAAAAGGCTCCAAGAACTGAAAGTATGGCACATTGCACTTTTATATTTAATTATATCAGGGCAGATGCCTTTGCTGCCATTTTCTGTTCAATAATAAAGATATAATTCTATTTACAGGAGGCTCGAGCTGCTGGCTGTCGTACATCAGCTGAAGCAGACAGATACCTTGAACAGAGGAGGAAAAGACAGTCTGAAGAAAGCTCCCGGAGGGCAAAAGAAAGTACCCAGGTTGGAACAAGCATTCAGGGAGGTCCAAATGCATTCATGGCATCAGAGCCGGTAAGCAAGGATTCCAATTGCAGACCTTCAGGACAGACTTCTTCAAGCTCTCTCAATGATCTGGACATACTAGGCTTTTCTGAAACACAACTGCTATCTGAATCTGTAAGTAACCTGGCTGTCTCTAATATGTTTTGACTGCTATTATTACTATTGTCCTTACTGAAGCTGCGTACTCTTAAATGTCTTGGACAGGAGAAACGCCTATGTCGTGAGATTAGGTTGCCTCCTCCTCTCTATCTTAGGATGCAACAAGTTATCTCAGAAGAGATCTTCAGGGGAAACGTCAAGAAGAAGTCTGATGCTCATTCATTGTTCAAGATGGAGCATTCTATAGTAGACAGGGTTTATGATATCCTGGTCAAGAAGGGGATTGCTCAACCCTGAAGCTATTAAATTATCAATGACCCTTTGCTTTGTAACTCATCTAACCTGTAAATTGCTTTCTCTTCTGTAAATCACCAAACAAAAGAAATTCCATGTGAACCCATGCCTATTGTGAACCCATGCTTATGCTTCATGTAATGGGTTTATGATATCCTCGCCAACCCTAAACCCATTAAGTTATCAATGAACTTCTGCTACTAACTCATCCAATCTGTAAATTATTCTCTTCTGTATGCCACTTTGTTCCAGAATGAAATGAAGGAAATTCCATGTGAACCCATGCTTGTGTTTCATTCAACTTGTAAACAACTCTCCTCTCTATATGCATTTAATTCTTCTTCTGCCTATTTAGTAAATGTTTTAAGTTTTATATGACAAAATTTTGAAAGAAAAAATACACCAATCAACCGAGATAATAGAATTATTTACCATTGTTGATATCGTATCGTTTCTTCAGAACATTTTACTGAGAAAAAATATATACTATCTCCTTATAAATAACAAGATTTTATTGACTTTAAATTATAAATGTTATTTGAATATTCTTCTGGTCAAAGTTGCAGATTTTGGAGTACTACACTTAATATCACTTTTCAATTATCATTTCTTTCTTCAATGATCCTTCATCGTCATCTCCGACGAATAAAAAACCCATACTATCATTTGCAATCGTCACCCCTAACGTCATCCTTTTCACTCCCTTCCTTCCTTCTTCTTCTTCTTGTTGACTAAAATTATTTACAATGTTATGTATATGTATGTATGTATCATTGCTTACATCATTCCTATTTTCCATGTAGTTTTTGCAGGTTAATCAACCGTTTCTTCTTTTCACTACATTCACTAGGTGTATACATATGTATGAACGTATACAATATGTATATATATGTATATCATACGCACCCTTCACTTCAATCTGCTTACTTGTCAAGAAGCACTTTTCATCAATGGCAGCTTGTATTCACCACAGCTCCACAACTGAAGCTAATCAGCCTAGTCAATGCCAATCCGGAACCCTTTTATGCAGGTGTGTAATTTCATGCAGACCCATTTTCTTAAATCTTGTTTTCTGCAATCCAGTTTACCAGGTTACCACCAAAAACCCTGAAAATTTTGAAGAAGAAGATGATCATCTATGGTTCAGAATCAGACATGAAGCTTTGTCTGATATAGAACAAGAACCACTCTTATCTAATTACTACCATTCTTTGATACTCTCACATAATTCACTTGAAACCGCCTTGTCAAACCTCCTAGCAATGAAGCTAAGCAATTCAAATATGTCCACTGAAAAACTCTTTGAAATCTTCTCCACTCTAATCCGAGATGATCTCAAGATCAAGAAAGCAATCAGATGTGATCTCGAAGGTGCAAGACAGCGTGACCCGGCTTGCACCAGCTACATCCATTGTTTCCTGAATTTCAAAGGGTTCCAAGCAATTCAGGCGCATAAGGTAGCCCATAAGTTATGGTCGAAAGGTGGGTCAACCATGGCGAGAGTCATACAGGGACGGGTTTTAGAGGTTTTTGGGGTGGACATTCATCCGGGAGCAAAGATTGGACAGGGAGTTTTACTCGATCATGCAACAGGAGTTGTGATTGGCGAGACTGCAGTGATCGAAGATAATGTCACAATTATGCATAATGTGACATTGGGAAGTAGAGGGAGTGTTGATTTTGGGGAGAGGCATCCAAAGATTGGGAATTGGGTGATTTTAGGGGCAGGAGCAAAAGTTTTAGGGAACATTAGAGTGGGAGAAAAGGCTAAAATTGGTGCAGGGTCAGTTGTTCTAAAAGAGGTACCCCCTAATAGTACTGCAGTAGGGAACCCTGCAAGAATAATTAGTGGCAAGGATAAAGTAAGCCAATGATGTTATATACAAATATATATATATATATATATATTTTCAAATAAAATAAATATTTTGTGATAGTTAAATTTCGTTAGTTAAAACAGTTATAACGAGTTAAAAATTTCAAATATATTTGGACTAATGTGTAATTTAGAAAATTATCTGACCCAAAAAGCAAATATTCTTCATAGTTTTGAAATAATAACAAGCCCGCGCCTTTCACGCCTAAAGGAAGAAATTTTAAATTCAGACACCGCCTCAATCTATCTCATCATTCCTGTCCTTTCCTAAACCAGATCAGGAAATTTCAAAATCAAATCTTTATATCTTCTCCTTCTTCTTCCCAAACCCAATCTCCTGTCATCAATGGCGGCACGCTACAACTTCTACGATTCACGTTCCTCCACAACTTCATCTCATTTCTCAGACCCATCTTCCTCAACCGAGTTTAACCAGCCTTCATTGACGCACAAAACTTCTTCTTCTTCTTCTTCTTCTTATTCTTCGTCCCGGGCGCTTGTCAAGTCTAATAAGCCGTGTGATCTGTCGAGAACCAAGTCGGGGAAGGTTCAGACCAATGGCGGAAACTTGACGAAAATGGTGAAGAAGTTCATTGACATGAAGTCCAACTCGGGGAAGAAGATGGAGTTGGTGATACCGTGTGATGTGGTGGCTGAGGACTTGAAGAAGACGGCGAGGAAAGGAGGGAATCTGGGTGCTCTGCAGAGGAAATTGTTTGGTAAAGGGTCTTCGTTGGAGAAGGAAAAGAAGGATCAAGTGAAGGCATTGACTGAGGTCAAAGGGAATACCCGGACTTTGGCCATGGTGTTGAGGAGTGAGAGGGAGCTTTTGAGCTTGAACAAGGAGATGGAGACGGAGATTACAGAGCTCAAGCTGTTGCTTGAAGAGAAAAATGGAGAAGTGAGTTTTTTTCTTCTTTCTCACTTTATATTTTTATTAACATTTTGGCTCTTAATTTATTGAAGTAGAAAAGGCAAAAGGAAGTCATTTCTGAACTAGTTTTTCCCTTGATTTGATTCCTTCAATGATCTCTTCCTATTTTGGAAAGGAAAATCATTTAGGTGTTCTGAAATTTGAAGTTATAAAAGAAGTTCAACGCATACCCAATTTGAATTATGAAGGTTTCATTTGAATATTAATCTTTTTTATTAAGATGGGTATGGTGGGTCTAACTTGGGTTTGTGAGATAATTAGACTTTAAGCACTGTTTTTAGAGCAAGTGATTGTAAAACACATGAATGCCATTATTAAATCTGAACTTCTACGATTAAACTGAGAATAAAGAATAGAACTTTAAATAAATTCCGTACCTTTTATGGAATTAGTATGTTCCAAACATTGCCCAAAAGCTTAAAACTTTCTGGACTTGTTCACATTGCAAATTAATTGTTTTGGAGATGGGATACAATGTTCCCGTTGGAGGAAGAAGAGTTCTTTATTCATGTCTATGCTTCCATGGAATCTGCAGGTGGAGAAGCTGAAAGATTTATGCTTGAAACAGAGGGAAGAAATTAAATCCCTCAAGAGTGCAATTCTCTTCCCTGATGTTCTGAATTCTCAACTTCATGAACTTTTGGAGAAACAAGGTTCAGAATTGAAGCAAGCCAAACAAGTCATTCCTACTCTGCAAAGACAGGTTACTTCTCTCACAGGACAGCTTCAATGCTTAGCAGAAGATCTTGCTGAGGTATTTGTTTAAGTTGGCAAAAGAAATTGCTGGCAACAATTATGAGTCTATATTTTTGTGTTAAAAGACTCTAGTTTGTCATATATATAATGTATGAAATTGTCTTGGGTTTGATCTGGGTTGCTGATTTTGATCCCACTTATTGATATTAAACTACTTGGACAGGTGAAGGCAGATAAATATTCATCATCAAGGTCAGGTAACCATCGATATGGAGGGTCTCCTCAAACGCCAACTTATGATCGAGAAGAGGCTACTAATTCTTTGGTAAGGCACTCCAAAGTAGAATGTGATTTGAATTATAACTCTTTTCTGGGGTATCTGTTTTTGTGCCAAGACTATAGAAACCATATCATAGCAGAAAGCCACAAGTCTTAACCTCTACGGCATACCATCTTTGCTTTGTTGATTTGTATTAGAAGAAAATGAAGACTTTTTAGTTGAGAAGTGAAATTATATAGTGTCTGAGTTAGTTCTTGACTCAAGCCAATTAGTATCTGAGGCTGATAATAAGTTCATAACTGTGATTTGGTTTCACAAGATTACATGCTAACAAAACTAAGTTAGGTATATATGTGTAATATATAGTATCAAAGTCTTATGCTCCCTTATCATATTTCTTTTAAAGTAGAAATTCATATATTCATCAATTAGTAATACTCAGACATTTATCATAACATAAAAGAACATAATCTTGAAATGAAAACATACAAAAATAAAATTTGACTCAAATGTACAATCTCTTATATAGATACCAATCATGAGATAAAATAATACAATATCTGAACGAGGATATACTGAATCAAAGACATCCAGGAGACATGAGATTAATCATGAGATTAAATTTTTATATCTT